AAAAAATTTCGAAATTTTATATATTAAAATTTCGAAAATTTCAAAAAATAAAGAATATATTTAAATTATTTAAAGATTAAAGAATATATGTAAAAATTAATAATATTTAAAATTTTGAAAAATTTGAAAAAATTTCGAAATTTTATATATTAAAATTTTGAAAATTTCAAAATTTTAATGTATAAAATTTTTATATTATTATATGAATATTAAATGTATAAAAATTAAATAGAGATAATAAGATTGAGAGATTGATAAATTGAGAGAATGAGAGATGGATTGAGAAATTGAGTGATTTTTTATGAAAAAAATGAGAAATTTATAGAGAATTTATAAAGGTGTGTGTGTGCGCACACACACACAGATATATATATATATATATATATATATATATATATATATATATATATATATATATATATATATATATATATATATATATATAGTGTATGTGTCTGTGCATGCGTGTGTGTCCACTAAATCAAGCTTAAGAAAAATATGGAGTAAAACCTTAGTGAATTTCAAATCTCAGCAAAGATGTGGATTGATGCTCTATACAATCGTGCTAGAAATTTTGGGAATTTTGCAAATTACAGATGTTAGCAGCGTTATGGATTGTAAGATACTAAAAGACTCGTAGAATTGTGCAATTTTACGACTCAGATCGCGAGTTTAACAGCCTTGATGAATACTAAAAAATAAAGCATACACTAATATAGTGAAGTTGTAATGGTACTCTTGCTTGTTCTCAAGATCCTCATATGGCAGAAGTAGTTGGGGTTCGAGAGGCTTTGTCTTTGTTAAAGAGAGATGCATGCTTGGAGGTGAAGCTTTTTTCCAACATCTATTGGTGGTGTCGTGGTGAATGCCATATATTAACCAAGCCACTGATTTTCACTCATACTTTGGTTTGATCATCGAGGAGTGTATGTCATCTATATCCTTTTTTAGTGGTTCAATTCGTATTGCCCATGTTTGTCGAGAGTTGTATGAGGTTGCTCTTTTGTTAACCCATCGGGCGGTTGCTCAACGTAGTGTTCGAGAGCCTAGGCCCCCGGACTTTATTGTTCATCTTTTGAATTAATGTGATTATCATTTCCTTTAAAAAATATAGTGATGTAAAAATCAAATGTTATAAAAGTAAAAAGGATTTATCATTACCTTAGTGGTAAAAATTCACATCCTCATTAAGCTAATTGTAGCACTCCACAAACATTTACTCTAAATAAACAACTACCTAGCACATTATCAATACTGATTGGATCCACTATCTTACTCACTTCGTATGTGTAGTGCTTTACATCCACTGCAATTATTAATTTTTTACTCTTTATTACCTATTTCTATTCAAAATAAATTCTATCTTTTTTAGAATCATACGTAGTAATATAAAGTTATAAAAAATTATATTACAACAAATGTTAATATTGATATCAAATGTTGAAATAAATATCTTTTCCACGTAAAATTTTTTTCCAATTTTTGATATCACAACGAATGAATGTATCCAAAAAAATCAATACTCGTAATAAATTTTAACCCACATATACTACTTGAATCAAAGTAGAAGAGGAATAACATTGGTTTTATACTATTACCATCATTTATTTAGATAGTGCTTCCGGAGAAGCATAACCTTGGAGAAAGGTCAAATGATAACATTGAGGAGGATGCTTGTTGGCCACTAAAAAAATGCATTTAGTGGTTGAAAAGACTAACATTTTGTTTGCATCTCAAAATCAAAATGACATTTTAAGGGTAGTACCAGAGGAGAGGAAATGTGTAAAACATTATGTAAACCAAATTGTGCAGTTGTTACATATAATGAAGTTAATGTAGAGCAAAATTGTTTTAACAAATGATTTATTCAACATGTAATAGAGAGAAAAATTTGTTGTTAAGTAGGATGGTAAAAAATATCAAGTAGGATGGAAAAAGAGATAAACGAACGACATGCAATTTCTTCTGCAAAACAAAACAGCAAAGTCGATGATAAAATGGAGCAAGCCACCATTAATTCAACACACAAGTTCCACTACATATAGAAGTGCAAGACCCAAAAACTTGAAGAAGGGAATCTTTGACAAGAAAACATCATTAAAAGTCTAATTAACCGAGCATGGAACAATAAAACCATATTGAGTGAGAAAAGAAATCAGTAACCGCCCTTGAGATCGTTAACCACATCATAAGGAATGGGTGTAACAGTCTCAAGAGTAGCACCTTCCACCATAAACCCAGGCTTAGGACCTTGTGGCTGCCTCTTAGTACTAATCACCTCACCTCTCGCCTTAGCTTCAGCCTTGAGCTGATCATTTTTCTTTACCCTCAGCTTAAACTCTTCCCTGCACCGTGAAGGTTGAACATGCTCAATCCGGGCATGAATCCTCTTCCGGATGATCCTGTTGCCGACCTGTATTCACCAAAATAAAACACCTTATATTCCATTTCATATTTTATTAGAATAGAGTAACTTGTACCCGGGGTAGCAACTAAGACACCTATAAAAATAAAGAGAGTTCACCAAAATATGTAGCATGGTTAACTAGTACAAATTTTTTGACAAATGAAAGAGTACTCACACATTATGAACAAAGCCATATAAAACAAAGCCAGTACTTCATTTACAATACATCAAGAGATTCAAATAAATAAACTGACCAAAATATAGGCATTTCAGGACAGAAACACAATAATCTTCTTATAAAATCGCAAATATTGGGTAAACAGGGTACCCAGACCTTTTTCATTTGGGCATCTAGACAGCTGCAAATCTGAAATTTCACAACCTACAAACTGCGAACTAACTCCAAAAATCTGGGTTGGGTCTGTTTAGGGTTTAGCCAAGTGCAAAGCACTGAAACAGAATTCATAAAAAAAATTTGATTCAATCTCACACGACGCTAAACAAAGGATTTTCAAACACAAACCAACAGAGAAATTAATGCAGGAGATTTCCTAGAGCCGATTCATCGCATCAAATTCCATTTCAAAAACATTAAAATTCTATGAGAATCACCGAAAGATGTAATATTTATCCAGACGACAAACCATGAACAATAAAAAAAACAGCGCAAGCCGAAGAACATCCAAGCAGCAAATCACAGATCGGGTATAAACGTACCTGTTTGTTGATCTCAACGCCGATGGCGCGCTTGGTGACGTTCCAGACGCGACCGGTGCGGCCATGGTAGAACTTGTGAGGCATGCCTTTGTGGACGGCGCCGTTAACCTTGACGTCCACATAGTCGCCGATGTGGAATGTCCGGAGGTAGGTGGAGAGCGGGATCGTCCCCTTCTTCCTGAAGCCGCGGGCAAAGAGATCCCTTGTTCTCGACCGCAACCCGTGTCCCGCCGGCATTTTGCTTCCCTTAACCCTAGCGGCCTAGAGATTATATACACAGGCTTGGCTTAGAGATTATATATAGACAGGATTTGTGATGTAGTAAAAACTCTTTCTGAAGGCCGGAAGCCCATTTTATTCGGAAGGCCTCAAGCCCAATAAAACTTAATCCACGTCATCCAAAAACTAAGGGTGGCTGGTGGACACAAAATTTCAAAATCGTTGTGTTGGTGTAAAATATTTCGATCTCATTTCTATCATGTCTGACAAAATTTTATTTTGAACCTATTCCAAATCATTTTAAAATGGGGCAAGACTAGGTTACATAAATATTTTCTCATTCCTTCCTCTTGTCCCATATACATATACATATATATACATTCATATATATATATATATATATATATATATATATTAAAATAATGAGAGAACATAAAAAAACTTTCACAATTTATATTTTTCCAAGATATATATAAAAATTATCTAGACTCAAATATTCTAAAAAAATATACTATGAGTGGAACATCTAAGAATCCAAACAGTTCTAATCGCACTCATCACAATTTGCAGCTCATAGCTTTTATGAAGTTTATAGTGTTTACTTTTGACGTATGTTATAACATTTTTTCATATTTTCTTATTGTTTTTAATTTTTTATAACATTCTAAATAAATATATCATTTTTCATTACTTTGTAAGTCAATGTGAGTTGCCTCCTCCTAATTTACTTTATTTTTTTATATTTAATTATGAAGAGTGATAGAGCAGAACAACCCGAACCGGTTTCACTTTATCTTGATCTCGAATATTAAGAGACAAATAAAGATAAGCTTGTAGCCCGACAGTTTGAAAAAAATGGGACAAAATGTGATATAAAACTCGAATAATCCCGACACATGCCCAGCCCTAATAGACCCTTCGAAAAATAACCTAACATGTTTTTTACCTGAGACTTGATCTGAAAATATTTGATTTTGAATAAAGATTTTGTTGACCAAAATTGAAGTTGACCTAACTCGAAATGAACGGCTAAAAATATGTGAAACTGGACCAAACTATTCGACCTGAACGACCTACTAATGTGATAATTTTTTTTAAAAGCATGAACTTTAATATGAAGGATAATGTCTTAAAAATAACATTACAATTATATTTATTTTCTTACTACTCATTTTTAATGTATAAATTTATATTTTTCAGACAAAATTTTAATGATATTACATAATCATCTTAATTTAAAAAAACTTCATATTTAATTTTTTTTGTAATATTAATGGGGGTGATCAAAAATATCCAATTTGAAATATCTGTCGACAATCCGGATCAATTCAATCTAAATATGGATATGTGATCTGATATTTTAGTTTTTTTTTATATTTCGAATTTTGGATTGGATATCCAAAAAATTCAGATCAGATATGGAATGACATATTAAGATTTCGAATATATGTGGATATCTAAAGTTTGTATTTAAAAAATAAATATAAAATTAAAGCTTAGACAATTTAAGCCCAATTCATTTTCATTATCATAAATACTTAAATCTACACTTAATTCAAGTTTTTTAGTTTTGTCTTTTTGGCTATATTTATATTTGTCAATTATATTGATATTCTTTTCTCATACATTTATAAAATTATGACTTATGATAACACTATCAAAGTAATTATGACATTTAAAATACATTGAACTTCAAGTTCAAATCTAATTTGTGATTTCTACTATTTTAATAAATAACAAATCTTTTTTAGAATTATTGGAAACAATAAAAATTATAAAATAAATATAAATATTTTCTCGCATAATCCATTGATCTGATCTGAAATTTTAAATATCCAAAATTCGGGTATCCGATAATTTTCGAATCGGACATGGAATATATAATTAACGATCTGAAAATTTTGGATACCTGAAAAAATGAATTGGTTTGGATGGAATATATCCGAATTATCATCCCTAAATATTAATACTAGATCTCAAAAATTACTTTAATTCTAAAAAATAAGTAAAGGTCAAAATCGTCGGATCATCTAAACCTGACAAGATTAATTAGGTTATGAATGGTTCTGATCAGATTGGAATCGTTGTGATCTAATTGGAATAGTTTTTATCTAGTCTGATCTGATCTGATCTAACTTGAATGTACGTAGTTATATTAAAAACTAGACCTGATCTAATCTGATCTGATTCCAATAAGATAAGAAAAAGTAATAAGTAATAAGAATAAATTGAAAAGAACCTGACCGTAGTTCTCAACCCAAACCATAAGTATCTCGAATCCAAAGTGAACGAACCCAAACCCGACTTGACCGTTTGATTTGCTAGTACTAGCCATCCACGTTGGAGAGATAAAAAACAAATTAACATGATACCATATTGGTGTGTAATCGTTTCGACTTATTTTATTTTCTTAATTGGAATTTGTTTTTTCATCTCAAACCAAAGACAAAAATATCATATAGAACATGATCGAGATTCAAATACTTAAAACTGATTATCATGAAAAAAATCATGTAAAGTTAAATACAGATTATTCCAAGTCATTTGAAGTTAAAATCGATTATCACGAACAAATTATGTGAGGTTAAAAATGACTATCACAAACTAAATTGTTTATTTATGTACTTCTCTTCCACTTATAAAGAGTATTTTGTATTTTGTTTTCCTTCTTTTAATCATCAGTTACTCTCAAATTGTGTTATATATCAATACAATGACTTCACATATTGAACATTCTCCACAAGATATAACTAATAAAATAATTTTTATACTAATATACATTATAACTTTTATTTAATTGATATCCAAATTTTTAGACAAATACATTGATGAGATGGAGGTATTATTGTTGTTGTTTTTTTGCACCAAAAACACAAAATTTTATTACAAAATCCTCCACCGTTTCATCATACAATGTAAAATCCTCTACCAAAACAACACTACATTATCTGATCTTCCTCAATGACAAGTAGTTTTTGATATGGAATATGGATTGTCTAGCTACATCTTCAGCCCTCCTTTTCTTTTGGTGTACTGCTTCATTTCTTGTTTTCCAGATGTAGTAAATACACACTGCCCAAACAGCCAAACCAATACTCTTGTCCTTCCCCTACTTAGCTTTTTGGATTTCTTCTCCAACCTCTTCTAAAGAATTAGCATTGATTTTTAGGTTTAGTTCCTGCCATACTCTCTTATATAACTCTTTTGCATATCCACATTCCCAAAACAAGTGTTGTTTTGTTTCAGGTTCCTCCTCACATAGCACACAATTAGGGTTGATTTCCATAAATCTGATCAATTTGTCCTTAATTTGCAATCTTCCCCTCCACATAAGCCAAACAATGATTTGAGCTTTGGGTGGTGTTAGCTTGTTCCAAACCCACTCCCTCCAGATTGGGATAATGTGTTCCTCTTGTAACCAATTATACCCACTCCTAATCTCATAAGGGTTGTTATGAGGCATATTTGAGAACTTCTTCTGTACCTTAATCATTTCCTTCTAATAGTGGCAAGAATCAGGTTTGGTATATAATTCCACACATCTCTTCCTTTAATGTATGTAGTGTGTATCCACTTTACCCATAACACATCTTTCTTCTCAGCTATATCCCAGTTTAAGCTCATGATGGCAGCATAGTTCCAATTCTGTAAATTTTTAATCCCCAGCCCTCCATGTTTCTTCATTTTACATACATCATATCATCCCAGTGGACTAAGGGGGTCTTCTTCTTATATTCACAGTCCCCACCACATAAGAAGTTTCTACATAAGGCCATAACTCTTTTCATAACCCCTTTAGGAAGGATGAAAATTCCAGCCTAGAAATTTACCACCCCCAACAAAACTAAATTAATTAATCTGACCCTTGCAGCATAGGAAAAGTGCCTAGCTAGAACCCCAAGCTGTAATCTTAGAGGTCAGCTTGTTGATCAAAGCAACAGTCTTGATTCTTCAATCTAGCAGTGGTGATTGGGCTTCCCAAATATGTAAATGGGAATTTACCAAGTTTGATGTCTAAAATCCCCAGAAGATCCTTTTGACTATCTTGATTGATACCTCCAAAAACTGCCTTACAGACCACAATCATGTCATTTGCAAATGTTAAATTTATGATTCTCTGAGTGGCACACATAGGATGGAAGGAAAATTTCTCTGCTTGTGCTGCCATCCTTAAGCTCATTATTGTTGTTGTAGTTGTTGTAATTGTTGATGTTGTTGTTCTTATTATTATTATTATTATTATTATTATTATTATTATTATTATTATTATTATTATTATTATTATTATTATTATTATTATTATTATTATTATTATTACTACTACTACTACTCGTACATTTTTAAGGAATATTACTATGTAGTTTATAAACACTAAATATCTTGTGAATTAGAAAAAAATAGTTGCTTTATTAAATGTAGCGACTCATCTTTTATTCTTTGAATTTATCATCTTTTAATTTGTGTGCATTTTGTTTTCCAATAATTTTATTTATTCATTGAATTATTTGAATTTGAATGTTGAATTTTTTTGAATCATTTTAACATGTCATGGTATTTTATCATTTCATTTCAAAGTAACATGGTTTGGAATAATTGACATTGGTAATTTAAAGGTGAAACGAGATACTCGTATATTCAAAGGTGTAACATTTTTATTATTATATTTTAAATGTTATTGACTCGATTATAATATATACTCCGTATAATATACCAGTAGTATTTAATTTGTTCGCATTTTCTCAAACTAATGTGTTTAAAAAATCAATGCTTGAAAGACACAAAAGTCAATATTATTATTAGTTGTTCACCAAAGTAGGCGTTAGTGGTGGGTTGGGTAGCCAACTAGAATCATAGAAAAGAATGAATTGCAATGAATTGTTTGGACGTTTTTTAATTTAAAAAAATAATAAATTTCATAATTGATTCTTTATTATAAGAGATTTCTCCATTTAGTCCTTTGTTATCATATATTTAGGGGCGGACACGGGCCGGTCCGAGCCCAGATTTATGTAAACCGGACTCGGCTTGTTTTTATTAAAATGGTTCGGGCCGAAACGGTTTTCAAAATTTTAAAATTGGAACCGGACCTAACCCGGCTTGTTTGAAACGGGCCGATTCCACAGGTCAGCGGGTCCGAACCTATAATGATACTATTATACTATACTAACATTCTTTAAAACAAATAGAAATTATAGAATAATGCCTTCAAAGTTCAAAAAAGAGGAATAAATGAAAAAAAACAATGACAAAGAGAGGAATGAGAGTAACGTGTACACCCCATGAGAGTAAGGAGTAATATACTTGAATTGCCAATTTCTGTCAGAGATTGGAAAGAATCCGCGTGCGATTGGAGAGAACCGGCGAATCGGCGAAAGAGGCGAATAGGTGAAGGCTGCGAATCGCGTTCAGAGTTCAGACTCTCTGTTTTCTCACTTCTGCGATTGGAAGATGGAAGGACCGAAAGAGTTACTAAAATTAATTGGAACAGGCGGGTATACCGTGTATTTACTAAAATATTAAAAATAATATTAGTATTGAAAAAACGGTCCGGTCCGGGTCCCAAACAATTTCAAAATGGGGAACATGACCGACCCTAAAATCTATAGGGACCGGACCGACTCGGACCGTTTTAAATTTTTGAAAAGATGACCCGGACCTAACTCGGCCTGAACCTGGCAGTTCGGTTCCGACTCGCGGTTCTTGGACCCGATTGCCCACTAGGGCTGGACACAGTACCGGTGCGGTACCATTACCGGCAACGGTACCGCCGGTACCATCTACCGTCACCGTCGAACGGTTCGTAACAGCGGTGCCGGGAACCGGTACTGGAACCGCCCCAACCGGTACCGGTTCCAAAATTTTCGTCCCGGAACCGCCGGTACCGATACCGTGAATTGTTAGAGGCGGAGAAACATATATCTTCGATCTTCCCCAGTTCCCCTCCTCCAATGTGCAGGTCGGAGAAACATCCGATGCAGGAGGATGAACCAGTGAAGGATGCAATCGAATATGCTCCGCCACGCCACCTTGATTTTAGATTTCTCCTTTTTTTTCCTTTTCTCCTTTCTTACTGCTAAGGAGAAATCCCTGTTTTCTCCTCTCTAATACTTGAGTTGTTCCAAGTTCTTCCAATTGTTCTTGAATGAGGGGTCTTCTCTGCCAGCGAGGAGGGGGGTTGAAATCTGCCGGTCCGGTACCGGAACCGTCGGTCTAGGAACCGGAACCGGTACCGGCCGTCACGGTCACGGTTCCGGTGTCATGGGGTGGCGGTACCGGAACCGGCGGTTCCAGAACCGGAACCGTCCCCGAACCGTACCGTGTCCACCCCTATTGCCCACCCTTACATATATTATTCTGGCTGTTATTCTTTTATGGATATTTTTGTACAAATAGTCCTTTTTGATATTCAATTATGTTGAGGTTAATTTAAGGAAAAAATACGGAGTATAATTTAACAATGATAGTAAATCGTTTCTGTCATACTATACATAATTTCAATGGTCGTTTCTAATACGTCGTTTGTGAATTACAGTCGCTTTTTACTACAATCGTTGTCTACAGATGTGGTCTTTCGGCGGATCCCAGCTCATAATCATAGTTATTATAGAGTATTATTTTATTGTCTGTTTAACTAATATCAGAATACATCACTAGACATAAATAATAAGGTTGATATCAAATTATACTTTTAGACTTTAAATATACAACAACATGGCAAAAAATAAAAAAAGACTATTTTTGAAAAGTTACTCATAAACGAAGTACTACGAGAGTAATATTTAATAATAGAGAATCAAATATGGAAAACCTCATATTATAACGAACCAATTATGAAATTATTCTTTAAAAATTTAAAATTTTGGCAATTTCCATCCATTAAACACCATATCACCACAAGTTACACTATGATTAACCAAAAACACATCTCAATATGAACAAATTTTAGAGAAAATAAACCATTTGCAACATCTTAAAGTTTAAAGCTAGAGTTTTAAAAAATCATAAAGATAATATTTTTATCATTATTTTTAGCCCTACATATGGCAAATCAAGGCTTGTCGTATTTAACAAGAGTTATAGATTGTTGGCTTTTAACCACATAATTTCTTCGATTTTCTTTATCGTTTGTTAAAATATCAACGAATCAAGATGTTCACTTGGTAGCTAGAGTATCTGATTACATGCCTATTCTTTTGAATGAATACCAACGCCCTCATCGTACTTTTGTATTGCTTTGCGTAACGATATTACGGAGTATGATTTAAATAAAACAGTTACGTTATTGAAAATAAACATTATTTTTATCATTAAGATTTATCTAAAATAAATTAAAAACATCACTCCCAAACATGTGTCACACATATTGTCGGCGGGAATATTTGTCAATCCAACAATGACTAAATTGATCAAACATTAGAGGCTAATAAGCGTCATTCTTTGATCATCACCATGGCCAAATCCTTCCCAAAATCCAACCTTTCCATCTTCTTCTTCATATCTCTCTTTTTTTCAAATTTCATCCCCTTTGCAGATTCCCACCATGAATTCTCAACAATCCTCTCAAAGGAATCAATGGGACTTAAAAGAGAAAAGCTAAGCCACCTCCGCTTCTTCTTCCACGACATCGTCGCCGGCGAAAACCCCACCGCCGTCAAGGTAGCCCAGGCCGCCGCCACCAACAGATCCGCCACCGGGTTCGGGATGATGGCCGTGGTCGACGACCCACTGACCGCCGGCCCGAACCTCTCGTCCAGGCTCGTCGGGCGGGCGCAAGGGGTGTACGCGTCGGCCGCCGTCGACGAGGTCGGATTGTTGATGGTTCTCAACTTCGCGTTTGTGGGTGGGAAGTACCGCGGAAGCTGCCTGAGTGTGCTGGGAAGAAACGCCGTGTCCTCCGCCGTGAGGGAGATGCCGATTGTCGGCGGGACTGGACTTTTCCGGTTCGCTCGCGGCTATGCTCTGGCGAAGACTCGCATTTATGATCCCACCACCGGAAACGCCGTCGTGGAGTACAATGTTTACGTTTTGCATTATTAATTATTACCCCCTCCGTCCTATAATGTACGAAGTTTGACCGACTTTATTTTTAATTCAATTTATTTGATTGTAGGTGTAAATTAAAAAATAAAATTTATATATTTAAAAACTACATCAAAAGTTCTACAAAACAAGTGGTGACAAGACTATATTATTTTATCAAATATCTAATGAAAATAGGTAAAGAAAGTGATTAAAGTTTGACCGTGTGAATAGTAAGTGGGAAGAACATTATATAATTACTTACACTTTTTTATTTATCTAAATAGTACTCCGGTACTTGAACAATGTTTAGTGTCGGAAACAATATCCACGGCCAGGGCCAGTGACAGTGACATTTATTTGAACAATAACCAATGATACATTAAACAGTGGTATTACATTAGAAAATAAAAATATATCATATTATATTAAGAAAGACTATATTTTAGTAGTACTATTTAGCTAAATTTTCCTTACTAAATTTAAGTGTTGTGTAAAGTGGTAATCTCCTGGCATGATTTTCCTCTTAAATATTAGAAAGAACGGAAAGAAAGAAATGAATGGAGCTACTATTTAAATTTTCTCTCCATTTTGGGGGAAAAAATAGCAAATAAGAGAATATTAATCTCCCAAACAAGACATGTTACCTCAAGAGGATTTTCTTTCCTCTCCCAAAGAAGACATGTTATCTAACTTTTTTACTCTCCTTCCTTCCCTATTTACTCCTCCAAAACAAACTAGAGTTCTTTGTATTTTCTTGACGGGATGATTCTTTGTTGGTAATTTATAAATTGTTATATTTTAAAAGACAAATGAGACAAATCTTTAACATGAGTGCACTGTTATACTTTTGAAAACATAAATTACGCATATCAAACCATCTATTCACATTGGAAAGATAATCCATGAAAAGTTTGTGTTCTTTGACTCTTCTATGAGCATGGTGCCAATCTGCATAACCTTCACCATCCAATTTTCCTTTTAGAATTCTTGTTCTAAATACTTTACAGCAGAAACAAAATATCTTGTCTACTTCTTTCGAATATACAAGCCATTCTCTATCACACTTCTCCATATTTGGTAAAGTTTTTGTATATAATGTTGTAGAAAAGTGTCTACCATTTTTTCCATCTCTGTCGTATGGACCATATTGAATACTAGTATCTCTTTTTGGACCTTTCTCCACCAAAAGTTTAATCTCTTCAGAATTAAGTTAGAAAAGATTTCAAATTAAAAATTAATATTTAACCCTAGATTTTAAATCTAAAGAATGAAACAATGAAAGAAAATTAAGAAATAAAAATTACAAAATTGGAAAGCCATGAATACGGAATACCTGAAGGCTGGAGGCGACCGGCGTCCGGACGTTCGGTGGCATCGTCTGGCGGAGGCAGCGTCTCTCTCTCCCATTTTCCGATTTGGTTCAGTCTGTCGCGTCCCCTCTGCTTTCCAGTTTGCGTCTTCCGAGTCTGAGTTCCGCTTTAGTTCTTTTTTTGTCTACGCGATTATAACAAGAAAGATGAGGATTGAGCTTTAAATGGGGTGGGCTTCCTACACACAAACAAATATATACTACCTCCGTCCCATTGTTTTTGTCCACTTTTGACTTTTGGAACTGTTCATCTAAGTACTTTGACTCGTCAAATTCTCTTAATGTGTAAGCCTAAAAATAGTCATGTGTGATCTTGTTTGATTCATCTTAACATATAGATTATTAATATATAATTTTTATAATTTTTTAATATACAAATTACAAGATAAAATGGATTTAAAAAGTGCATTGGATGGTGTGCCAAAAGGTAAGTGGACAAAGACAGTGGGACGGAGGGAGTATACACACACACACACAAACATATGTATGTATGTATGTATATAATATTTTTAAAAAAATTAGGCCCCTTAAATTCATAGACCCGGTCCAGACGGGATGTTTGTCCCCCTATTGGCCCGGCCCTGACTTGAGGTTCCTCATTGTTTTAATTACTCCAATGGATGTTTGAAGTATTTATTTTATATTATTTGAAAATGAGTTGTGTTTGGATATTAATTTAATAGCAACTCGATTCGTTAGTCTGCTTATTTATATTACGCGGGTTGGGGTGTTACAAGTATCATGCCCTCGTATTTGACAATCAACACATTTGGTCTAAAAGATGTTTTTTGTCTGGTAATAGTATTAATTTTGCAAAACTTAAAACATCCTTTATTATAATATTTGAGACTCGAGCTCACAGAATGTCGACATGTGGCGGGTCTACTTGGCAAGTTTTTTATAAGTCATCCTCCACCTTTGATGACTTTATTGACTTGGCACTTTTATATTAAAATATAGAAAGATCCAATTCTAATTAGTATGCCTAATATATACTTTATAAGGCGACTAAAATATAATTACGAAGTAGAAAAATAAGAAATTAATTATGAGTAATTTTTAGACTTTTTTCTAATGTATTTTGATTAATTATAATGAGTGCAATGTAAAAAAGCACCATAGTTCTTTCTATTATTTATAATATATGTTTAATTTATTTTTTTATGTAAATTAATTATTCCATTGAATAATAATAATAATACGTTTAAGTTAGAACAAATTGAAAAAGTTAAAAAATGAGAAAGACTATTATAGAAGTAAAATATAAAAAAGTATCAAAATTACTTATTTTGACTTCTACCTCAATACTTCTCCCTCCTAACTATTACTGTCATTTGAGTTTGCTCTCATCTTTTTTTATTGTCTAATCTAACGCCTAACATTTGATAATTTTAAAAATAATTAAAATTTTGATTCTAGGCATTTTTT